CTAAATACATTATAATGAATAAGTACAAACTAATACATATGCATTTCTACTATGAATACGTTTCATGCTATGTGTTTTAATTTCATTTAATTTTGGAAATTGAAAAAAAAAAAATATTTCTCGACAAATCATATTTTAAAACATCATTGCAATAAAAAAAAACTTCCAAGTAAGGATGAATATATTGATATTGAGTAAGAAAATTCGGTGAAATCGGTGAAATACTTGAATCAAACATAAACGTTTGAAAAACGTACGACGCGCGCCAAAGCATAAGTGATGTCAAAGTGTGTACAAAGAGTGAAGCAATAGTGCGTTTAATGCTATGTGCTATAGTGTCTCTGTTGATGTTGATCGCTGACGTTTATAGTGGTAGTATGGGTCTTCATGTGCTTTTTCAATAGTTTGGCATTCGCAACTTGTTTATTACAAATTTCGCATGTACGACTTTGGTGAATGCACCGCATATGTCTGGTAACACAATGTTTCCAGCGACTAACATAGTCACAAATCTGACACTTGAACTGTTTTGGCTGTACCGTATTTTGTGCATTTTGCACCGTACCTGTTGGCACTGACTGGCTGTTGCCTGCCGTGGCTGTTGCTGCCGGCCAAATCATTTCGATCTGTTGCCGCACGCTTTGTGGATCACCTGGATCTGGGCCACCAATATCTTGATTCATCATCCGTGTCATCGTGTTTGGGTGGACCTCGTCGACCTTTTCTTCTTCATCGTTTTCACTTTCATCAACAGTTTGAACATCGATTTTTATGATATTGATCGCATTTTCCATCGTTGCTTGATCCAAATCCATATTTAATGACCCAGCGATGTTTAACCGTGATACATTTGCCCGTGGACTCATCTCGTACTGTTCATAACTGCGCTTTATGCTAAGAAACAAAAAGATTGAATTATATTCACGATGAACATTTACCTTAAAACCAATCGCTTTCGAATAGAATGATCAGAGAATCATTTCAACATAGATATTCAATTTTCTGATGAGATCTCAGTAACTGAATGCAGTGACTTCGAACGTTGCTGTGAGTGAACAAGCGCTCTACATTCAAGCGCGGACATGCATATACATTGGTTTACACATAATCGGAGTGAGTGTGCGTGCGAAAGAAGAGAAGAGAGGAGAGACGAACGAAATGTGTTGCATCGAGCGATGTCCACTTGACACAGTGTCAGTGTGGCGAATACTTACTATTCGTTTCTTGGAATTGTTGTTCCTTTTTCTTTTTCTTCTAAAAAATTGGTTGGCAGCACAAACACAATCAAAAAAAAAATCACATTCAAAAAATAAACAAAACAATATTTGATTATTTTGTTATTGTGTTTAGTTATAGAATTTTATTTTTTTTACTTGAGTTTGTGCTGCCAACCAATTTGTTAGAAGAAAAAGAAGAAGGAACAACAATTCCAAGAAACAAAGAGTAAGTGTTCGCCACACTGACACTGTATCAAGAGACGTTCACTCTCATCGTTCAATGCGACATAATTCGTTTGTCTCTCCTCTCTTCTCTCCTTTCGCACGCACACTCACTCCGATTGTGTGTAAACCAATGTATATGCATGTCCGCGCTTGAATGTAGAGCGTTCGCTTACTTACAGCGACGTTCGTAGTCACTGCATTCAGTTACTGAGATCTCATCAGAAAATTGAATATCTATGCTGAAATGATTCTCTGAGAATGATTCAACAAAAATTGAAGCAAAAGAGAGACTTGTGTCATAGATCATAATTTATGATTCATGAAGAAAATAAAAATATACAAACTTACCGTTCGCTTGTAGCACCCAAGAAATGTTCTTTGAATCCTTCAGGCAAAGCTTTGCCTTCGCTGTTAAAATCAGCCTCGATCAATCGCAACGTTAGTGTCGTTTTACGATCCAATGAAACGAGCATTTTGTCAAATTCCTCTTTCCATTTGAGTGACGCCATGTCAAACTAAATTTCAATGCAAATGAATCTTATTAAAATTTATTGAAAGTGAACAAATGTTAAGAACCGAAGGGATTTTGAGACAAAATTTGTGAAGGCGCTCATAATTAGTTCCCAATTTGTGGTAAAAAATTCCAAACGAACATTTTTGTGCAATACCATTTTCAGTCCCATCGACGCACATCAGAATGTAATTAAGAAAATAAACCAAACATGCTTCGAAATAAGAAGTTGAAGCCAATGCTAAAGACAGAGAATCAAAATGAAAGAGAAATGCTCCAGAATTATGTTACATAACTCATAACAAAGACGTAATATGCGAAAGAACGTAACATGGAAAAGTAAATTCTTAAAAACGCAACATGAATTTACGCCACACTGAAGCGCGTCATAAGAATAAGCAATGTAAGCAATGAATTTTCATTGCGCAAAACCAATCAAACAGCATTAGTGACGGGAATGAAGCATTTTTTTACTTACCTTATTTGTGATCGATGAGAATGTAAAATGACACAGGAATGTGGTTTTATTTTTGAAAATGCAATGGAAATGAGTGATTTTTTTTAATAATCTGCTAAATGAACGCGTTGAGCGATAAAATGAAAATTGGCTGTAGTTGCAAAACGTTTACGAGATGAAAATAAAAACGTGTTTTACAACGCAAAACGAAAAAGCTAATGTTGTTGCAGTGCCGACGATGCAGAAATGAAGCATAAACGGATGAAGCAAATCGAAATGGCTTCCATGGTTGTTCTAGTTCGAATTCGAACTTCAATGTGTCGCTGATAGATTCTCTTGAAGCTGAATTGGATATCTTGTGACATTTCGAGTAAATTTGAAACAATCAAACAGTTGGATAAGCAATATGCTTTGGAAGAATGAAAGACTATTGGGCAAAAACAACATGTACAGTCGTAAATTGGCATGACTTGACGCAACAAATACAATGTTTTGTTTTTTGAGTGGGCGAGCGTTGAAAGAACTTTTGCGGAAACAATTTTTAAAAAATGGTTCAACTATTTTGTCAAAGCCTCCGCTTGACAACTAGCAATACATTTTCTTTGTCGCATAAAATCCGAATTTAACACCGAATGGATAGTTCGACAAAAAAGAGTCTTCAATTTGATTGAAAATTGCTAGAAGTTTCAAACAAAATCCACATGAAAACTATCTATGACTTGGATGCGATCGGTGCGTCGTTGTTCAGTTGACCAAGTTCATAATCTCTATCAGAATTCGACGAATAAAATTCCATTTTGCATAAAGTCAAAATGTTGAGATTGTTCCGTGCATAATATGGGGAGCAATTTTCTCAATATAGAAGAAAATTTCAATCGAATTATTTTATTCTATATTTATGAACAAACTGACAATTTTCATTTTCGAAATGTTAGTGGCAACACCACACAACATTTCGAACATCAACGCCTGTCATTACATTTCACTGTACAGCTTAGCATCTGTAGTTGTGTGCATGGCTCCCCTCTCGATGTTTCCGCATCGCATTAGCACGAAACACATTTTCGCGAAACCTTTAGCCGATAAACAATAAATATTTTCACTCATTCACGCCGCCATTTTGCTGTCGCAACAGAGCAGTCCAACATTTTTGCTCTACTATCTGAGTAGTCCAGCATGTTATGAATTCTTTCCCATTTATTTTTCCTTAAAATTAGTAAAATTACAGAAAATTGTTAAGTTAACGATGAATTCATAAGAAAAAACTGGTTTATTTTGTGTACAAAGGTGAATTTTACTGTAAATGTAAAAAAATGTTCAATTTGTTGGTTTCATGTGTTGTGTTTTTATTGAAAAAATATTTATTTGAAAGAAAACATTCTGATTTTTGTTTGACAGCACTGGAATTGCGTTGCAATAAATGGTCATTGTACAGAGCCGCCTGATAAGCACAAATCAAATGTCATCGTGTTGGAAAATGAATCGATTGAGAGGCAATGTGCAAAAGAAAAGCAGAACAGGTCAAGCGGATTGGTTTGTGCGCAAAAGAACAGTCAGCAAGAGAATCAAAGCATACAGTTTTAGTAACAATAAGAAGCCACCTCAAGGCAAATAAAATGGAAAGCGAGACATTTTCTGATTTTATTACTCACTTTGCAACCAATTTGAAAAGAAATGAGACACGACATCATCGGTGAAAAGTTGTTTCCATGCAGCGTTTGCTCAAAACGATTCATAACCAAACAATCTTGCGAAATCCACAAAAAATGTCGACGAATTTCGGTTCAGTAGCCCAAACTGTTCGAATAGATCAAATCTTCAATCAAATTATTTGAACAAATTTCATTACAACGAGAAAAAGGTGAATTATGAAACTGGTTGCAAGCTTCGTGGAATGTTATTTGTGAAAGAAATTCTCTACTTCCCTGAAGAAACATTGGAAAACTCATCTTTGCGTGTTGTCAAAGACATTTACTTAGGCAAGCTATTTGGAACGCCACCATGAAACTCACATATGTCTTTGTCCGCTGAATCTCAAATGTTCAACTTGCTTTCAGAACTTTACCGAATTTGTAGTTAAAGTTAGTTAAAGTTACCAATTGTAAGTGTCGTGGAAACGAATCCATAAACAAAAAATCGGCAATGAAACGTTCCGCTGTGAAATATGCTCAGAATGCTCCTCGCAATGGACACATTTCAATCAAAACGAGAAAATTCACAAGTACTTCTCTTCTGTAATGAAAGTAATCTCCTACAAAGGAGGAAGCTACTTTTGTTCAACAATTTGCATCAAAGAAAAAACAAATAAACAAGTGTATTTAGCATAAAATGTAGTCTTTTATTTGAAAAAAACAAATTGAATGAATGTAAATTGATCCATGAGTATTCTCTTGCTTGCCAATCATGAAAATCGAATCTTAGCTCTAATTATAACTTGTTAAGAGTTTTAAAGTCTTTTCAACCCTTTTCAAAGGAAGCGAAGAAAAAATGCGAATTTTTTAGTTAGAAATCTTCCGATGAAAACGCTTTGAAGTTCAAGGTCAACGAAGTGTGGCAGCTGAATGATGCTGGTGAAGCGCCATTGCAATCGTGACACTGACGCATGGCACGTCGTGCAGTTTCTAGGCTATTGAAACAGAATTGCATGCGTCAGCTGGAGAAGGAAGTAGAACGACACGTGCCAAATACGTCATATTGCACGTTTTCAATGCTTCAAGTGCAGTCATGTATAGAAAAAACGCGAACAAAAGAAGAAAATAAAGAAAAGAGAAACGTTGTAAAGGGAAATTCTCCACTCATTCTAGATGGACAGAAAGTGAATGAAAGAAAAATGCATACAAAATGTTCCGCATTCAAAGTTTGAAACATATTTTATTTCGACAAATGGAAATCCAACATTTCATACATGTCAAAATATATTTCTACTGTTCAGTTCTTTTATAACAAAAATATCGTGTCGCGAAAACATCGTTCTATACAACAACATAAACATTGTTGAGAAAACCGGAGAGAGCATCACTCTCTCTCTCTCTCTGTGTGTTTCTCTGTGCATCGAAAAATTGCAATTTCTACATGTTACACAAATACTTGGAGTTGATTCGTTAAACTTGATTGCATGCATAGTCTCTGGTCGTTGCAATCAAATCACAATATCGAATCCCATCTTCGGCTGGCGCTGCTGTATACACCACATCAAGTCTTCCTTGATCTGATTTTGATATGTTGCGATTGAATTCTCTCATCGATATGTAAACCAAAATCGCTATCGAATAGAAGGTGACAGAAACCACTGTGGAAGATATGTGGAGATAAACATGGGAGGGAAAATTCGAAAAGTTGAAAAAAATTAAGACATGAGGCATAAAATATGATGCATGAATTCAGCCATTCAGATAGCATTTTCAACATATTTCCTTGATCTCACCTTCAGAAACTAATCCCTTCAGCATTCCGATGAGACCATGCCAGTATTCTCGGTCGTAAATCATGTACAACGTATAGTACAGCGTGTACGATAGGGCAGAAACGGTGCAAGTGCTTGTCGGTATGGTCCACAGTATTATTGCAAATAGTGCAAAAATTGGCTTTTTCTGGTAAAGACGAGACAATTTTTTTATTTTTCTGTAATTTTTATACATTTATTGCTTCTCAATTTGATGCGTTTTGAATTGAATTCAGTCGAAAATTTATAAAAAAGATAAAATGTTCAACAATTTTTTTTTTTTCGTTCCAATTCATTCAAAAGCTCTAAGACTTTCAAGTCCTTGAATACCAAAATTTAATTTCAAATTGACAAATTTCAAATTTTCATTCCAAAAATCATCAAGTAATTTCACTTTTAATTCACAAGTTAATTCAAAAATAATCATATTTCCTATCGGGTGTTGGATTTTCCAAACAGAAGTTTCGATTTTTGGAACATTTTGGTCGAAAATGTGTCAATTTTACTAGTTTTGAGTTGAGTATTTGCTTAATTTTCAAAATTTCTCATCAAAATTGTTTGAATTCTCGTTGATTCACCTACCAAATAAATTGAGATGAGCCAAATGACGCTGGCTACCAAGCTCGCAACTGCAAGAGTGAACAAATGTCACGGTTAAAATATGTTTTTTCTTCTCCATTGAGTCCAATAACAACATATGCTGTGCAAAAAAAAACCACACTTTGCCTTGCACCACGCTCATTCTCCAGTGTGTAAACACCGCACAGACGGAAAGCAGCTGATTTTCCATGTGTTCAAGCACAACAATGCAAAAAAAAACCGAGCTGTTGTCTCTCTGTGTGGAGTTCGCGCACTGGGAATTTTGCGGTAGGATACATATGCTGTAACATTGCATCAAATATTTGCAATATTCAGCAGCGTTTGGAAAAATTTACAACATTGGAAAATTGTACAAAAAGAAGAATTTCACACTCACTCGACATTACAATCACAGCGATGGCAAATTTTTTACAATCAAATTTCCAACATAATGGTGGAAAATAAACACCTATCACGATGCTCAAAATAATGGATAAATAGCCCAAGACTTTTCCTGTAAATTTCCAGTCAAAAAACGAGTCTCGATTCGAGGACGCACCGATTTGGTCATTTTTCATTTTGTCGAAGTGCGGAAACTGCGTATTTTTTTAAAACTGAGCTTACTTAATCAATGCCAATGCACAGAGTCAATTTCAAATCAACTCAATTTTCAATGACAGAATGATTCTGCTTTGCTGTTCTGTATATCTTCACTGATTTTTCACGCAAAAATAACTATTTAATAACTGAAAACTAATTTCTATTTCAAAAATCATTCAAAGTTCAAATAAATAACTTTGAATTCGATAAAAAAAAAATCCTTTTCACTTTGATTCAATTTTCATTTGTTCAAGTTCACAGCGAAAAACTCAATTTGAGAGAGAAAAATTGGTTGTTTTTCCCTCTACAGCCAATGTAATACTGCGCATATCAACCCCAAGCTTTCGCTCACGGACATCCGCGGGCAGCCTGCATTTATGCATATCGTCTAGCGTTGTCTGCGCTCATGCTTACGGTGAATGGCATTCACTGGATGCATCATCGTCGATGCATTGGAGTGTGCATTTTGCAATCTCAAAGAAGGAAAGTCATGGAAAAATTGGAAAAAAAAGTGACGCATCGTCATATCGATGCTTTCGTCGATTTCTTCGGAGAAAGTAGAAGTTTTCCAATTTGTTAGTCGAACGATGATTGTTTGTTGGATGCAATTTGTTGGTAGATTTGATAGAAGAATGCGCAACAGATGCTCTTACCGAAAAAATGCAAGCAAAACGTGTATAAGTGTTACATAGGATGAACGAGGTAAAAGATTGTACAAGTGTACCATGGTATGATTAATCGTATGCATAAAATAAGAAATCAATCATGAATAAAACAGTACATTACATTCAAAATAAAATGAACTGAGCGTAAAATTGAATGAAATGCATCATGCGTTTTTTTCCATCATCCCGTAACAATTTTGAAGACTGTCGTCTTAATTAGTTAGACAGGTTAGAAATCCACAACTTTGGAATACGATAACTTTATTTTATCTTTATACATTTATTTCTTAATTTTTTTGAGTAACAGTTTGTCAACATTCAGTTTTGTTGCGCGAGATATTTGCTCTCTCCTGTATTTTTTGTCTTATTTTTTCCACTTTTGAACTTAGAGCAATTCATTTTATCTATAGCTTAAAAATATTTGTCTTGTTAACGGTAAATTCGTCGAAAAAAAAATCATAAGGCAAAAATTGCATTTGTTCGTTACATTTGTACTAAGAATTAAACCCTTTGCATTCTTCGAGTTCCGCTGCATTCGATACATTTGCTCGTCGATCCTCTGGCTCGTCTCCCATAATGAGGTTTCGCAACTTTATATAGCACAATACAGTTGAAATATGGGAAATCACAATGAGGGCTGCAAAAATAAAAGAATAAAAAGGCAGTTGGGATTTAAATTTGATCAATTTTCGAAGTAAAATCAATATTTTCCACGCCGTTGTAGTGAATAACAATGAACTAATAGGCTATTAGCTCACACATACACGACAGACGGATCAAAGTAAGAGTGGATCGCTGATTTGGCATATATGCCCATGTAAACAAAGTCATAGCAACATAAGCAAATTCGTAGAGTGACCGACAGCAAATACGTAGGTATGTATCACAGCTGTAAACGATCGGCTACTGAAGTCAGTATTTGTCAGTCTTTGTCAGACTTTCGACTTTCCAATAACCACCTGAGAAGAACACTTTTCTGTGTCTTAACTTATTCCCGACCGATTGGACTCTGTCCATATCGGTTCATCACATATTTACTGAGCTATGCTGAGATATGAGAAAAACGCATGTAAGTAGCGAACATTGTTCGCCGAACAAATAGCACTGAACATTTCGCTGCTGGCTGAAATATGCTTTATCTATCTCTATATATCCTTTGCAATTCACCTTGACTTTAACCTTTGTCGCTTACGTGTACGTTGACCGTTCGATTTTCAATTTGTATGGAAACTCTCACAAATGCGTAGAAAATGGAGTTTTTGTGTGAACACGGTGTTCAAAATTGCAATTACCTGTTGTAACAAGTATAGTTTTATCGAGCTCAACGCCAGATATCACATCTAAAATCATCCAAAGCAACCAAAGCCCCAAAGAAGCGATAAACCAAACAATAGCGGTGAGCAAAAATCGTATTTCTTCCAGCCCAATTCCTCTGAGCCAAATGACGCTGGCCATTAGATTCAAAACTGAAATAGAACAACGAAAAATTGATTGACCTATTCTACAAAAGAAAACAGAAAGATTTCTTCTATAGAAGAAGAGCACTTTGTTGGTTTTTTGCTAGGAGAAAACTTGGATATTTGTGAATAAAAGTCACACTTACAGCAAATCAAAAATATAACAATAGCTGTTTGATAATCGCCAAAGATGGCATATGAAACTCCAAATATAAATCCAAATCCAATGCTGAGCAATATTTCAACGACTCCCAATATGGTACTGATGACCTTGCAATTACAACAGCCTTTTGTTTGTTCCGAATCCATTGTGAGTGTTTCTTTTGAATTCGATAAGAATTTTTATCACTTTTTCTACTCAGAATTTTTATCTTTCATTCATTTGTTGGTTTTGCTTTCGATTCTTGTTTTGTTTCCGCTTAGAACGACATTGTTCTATATTGTGCGTGTGTGTCAATTTTAATAAGTTAAGTTAAGTTAAGTTAAGTTTTGAATGATGAAACCCTTCATAGAATTGAATTGATTGAAAATTTACTTCAAATAATTATTCAAGCAATTAAAATCGTTGTTTCTTCGATGATTTAATAAGCAGCTCAATGTTATTGTTTCTTTTTGTTTCACTCATTTACATCATATAAGGCGTTGATTACACAATTTTGAATCATAAATATGGGTTGTTTTAAATTAGTCGTGGCATTTACGCGGGAAACGTGCTTGGAATTGAATTCCCCGAATGTTTGTGTAAGTAACAAGTTTGTAGCTTAATTCGTATACATTGAAAACTAAAGAATTCATTGGATTCTATTTGAAATCATGCCAAAATCGATACTTCTATACACTGTATATGCAACACACTCACAGCACATCACCACACTCATACATGTTTCAAGAAATAAAACACTCAGACACTTAATGATTCATTTTCACGATACAATTCAAGTGTAGATAAACACGTCCAAAGTACATTTTTCGATGGAGAAATTCAATGGATATTTATTCACGCACACTGAATGTACAAACTTTTTTTTTTCATCAATCCACAATTAAAAAGTAACAAACAAAAAGGAACTATTTATGCTAAAGCAGCAGCGAAAAATTCACTTGACAACAGCACGAACGAACGAAAAAAAAAAGAAGAAGAGAATTGTCAAAATGAAAGGTCGAAATCAAAGCATGACTGCGGAATGAATTGTTCGTTCAACCGCAGCCAAGGCGATACTAATGACGAGCCAACATAATATGACAATCGAAATACATACAAAGCTACGCAGCACGCATCGAACGGTTGTCGTATGTGTGTGTGTGTGCATATTTGTATCACATATCGATGCTTGCGCTTTACATACGACAATTAACGTCTTTGCGTTGGGCGCATGCTAACCGCAACTACCGGCACATATCAACGGCGGACTTATTTATATTGACCACATCGCTTGAACGACGCTTTATTGTTTACATTCAGAACGTAACTGTGCTGTTGCCGGCAAGAAACTCAGGCGCCAAACTGTCGGCGCTAAATTTATGTATTCTTTGTGATGATTTCGCTAAATTCGCATGTATCGATGAATTCATTTTGGGTTTTTATTTTCTCCGTTCATTTCGTTGACTTCGTATGTTTTTTGCGTTTGTATCGTAGTTTGTATGTGTTTTCTTGTTTGTATTGCCGAAGTAACGCATCTATGTAGTTGTATGTCAGCCTCTTTTCGCATTAGTCAATTGAAAGCGTCAAAACTATGGAGCTAAACAACACCAAACATAAGTATAACATTTCTTTACAAGCTCTTTGAAATGCGCTTTGTTCAAAGCAAGTATACATCACACGCGTTTCGTTTACATCACACGTGTCAAAGGCACCGTTCATCGATGCAAATTAATCGATAGCTGACGTCAACGCAGAGACCTACATTCACCACAAGAAAATTACTTAGTCTAATGACAATAATGACACCATCGCTGCTGTTAGTCTTCTACATTTTTTGTCTTGTATAAGATATATATATATTCTTTAATCATCTTTATTCAAACAGTTTTTTTTTTCTTTCATACATATATTTTTGCTTCAATTTAGAACACAACATATTTTGAAGGTCACATTTGAACTGGTACATCACATTGAAATTACAACATTTTTTTTTTCTTCGTTCAACATATAGTTTAGCCGATGGCTTTGTTTAAGAAAAAGTGGGAAAAAAACGGAGAGAAAACAGGGACATTTCACTTGATATTTCGGAAGCAAACTACTTTGTGCATTCTATTTAGATGAACTACAGATCCAAGATAAATGCAATTATTCTCTTTTCACATGAAAACTTTAAAGAACCAATTGGTTATATTATGGATTCAGAGATATTTCTTTCCGTGCACCATCCATTTCGAGTGAATCCAATCCCATTTTAGTAGATATTTAAATCGGTAGTTTTGTTTTTCGGTGTGTAGCCCACACCTAAACCCTGGATTTCCGATGCGTCTCCATCAAAGGCCTCCTTCAATTTGAGATAGGTGACTAATGCAATCCCATAGAATACCACGCTAAGCACTGAAATTATTCATGATGGGAAATGATTAGTTTTGGCATTTTTTGGAAATGAAGTTTTCAAAATTATTTGTTTGTGTTTCATGCCAAGTGTGTACAAAATTAGCATCACAATGTTTTCGTTTTGAGTTAAATTTTTCTAAGATGTCTTTTAGTTTTTTCTTTAAGTTATCTTTTAGCAATTTATTATTGGAATGCTGTCAATTTTTTTTTTTGTGAATTTAAATTGGAATTTTTCATAGTTTTTTCGATTGAAATTTACCTCCTCCAATGACAACCAACACTTTAAGCCAGTCATTAAAGAAATGAGCTATGCCTTCCTGTTCAAACTCCTCCGTACTCCGTTTTGGTGGTCCAGAAGACAAAACACTGATGGTCAATATCAATGAGATAACCAATGGAATGATAAACCAGATCAACGCAGCCAAGAGAAACCGAGATTTTTTCTGTTTGTCGAAGGATTTAAATTTTTAAAAAAGGATTATTAATTTTGGTCGCACCGTTCAAATTCTTTTGAAATCATTAAGCTGAAGAAAAAAAATGTCTTAAAATTCATGAACGGAGAATTTTTGTTGATTGTAACTTGCCCAAATTTTATCATTTAAAAAAATTGAGAAAAATATCCTTCAGGAATAATCAAATTCAATAAAATCAAATAAAAAAAACTTTCAATCAGTTCAGCGTTTACTTGCCTTCCAAATTCCGAACAGCCACAGGCCGGATGCTGTTAGATTCAGAGCTAAAAAAGGGTTCAAAAGGCCATTTGAATTCACACAAGTAAAAAAAATCGTTTCGAATGACCTAGAGTTCAAAGCATTTAACACACAACATTCACATTATTCCCCTCTAACTTACCGTACACCACAAAAATCAGCAAAGTAACACCAATCAATTCGAATGAGGCCCAAAATAGAATGGTGAGAAATATTCCAATTCCAATGGAGTCTAAAGCTCTTACACCACCTAATGCAACTCCAACTTTTCGCCAAAGAACGTGACTTGGTTGACCGCTATCCATTTTGAGCACTTTTATTTTCAAGCAACAAAGCTGTTTTCACAATTTCGAACTTTCAATTCTTTTGCGGATACAAAAAAAAATGAAAAAGAGAACAAATTTATTAACAGATCCTGAATGAATTTCACTTTTTTGCACACAGCACTAGATGTGTTGACAATTTTGACAAGGAATTAATGAATCGAAAGAACACTGTTTGTATGAAAGTTCAGGAATCGCTTTTCCGGAAACAAAGTTTGTTAGGAAAAGTATTCATTGGAACGATGTGTTAGTAACAATAGCTGAAATCAGTTGATTGTAAAAAAAATTCCAGCTCGTATGTACATTTTCATCAAAGAACAAGAAATAAGTCAGAATTTGACATTTTTTTTTCTTTAATACAAATGAATAAAATGAGAATTTGTTATTTATTAAAGAAACGACATTTCTTCGAACGAATAAAATACATGAAACCAGCAAAACTAAATTCAATGATTTTTCGACCTAAAAAGAATCCACTTGGTAACAATTCACTTGATAAAATTGAATCATAACTACCAGATTGAATAGTGTGTTTCCATCCACGGTCAATGCGAGACTGCGCGATTCAACTCCGTGCACTAATCGCCGGCATACAAATACATAACGATTTCTTTTCGTCCTTTTCCAAATTGCTATACATCACACGCATGGGCTTTAGTGTGCGTGCAAATTGTTGATGTCATTTTCATTGGATTCAAGATTCAAGTCAAACAGTATTCATTTGAACTAAATTTGGTGCGTGCTTCAATGGAAATGGGTCGAATTGGATTTTCATTATGCGTCGCACACATTCTTGGCTTCAGTCTGAGGCCCTCATTTGACTAAATGAGCTTCGATTGAAATGGTATTCTGTAACGGTATTAGAGAGTCTCTCTAATAGAGACCACTATGGTTTAACGTTTGAACTTGTATTTTACTGGGAAAAAAACGCTCGAACTGGAAACATCGTATTCACCCTCTTCGGAAGAACTTCAGTGCGTTAATATCACTTCAGGGTGTGTTAAACAAATAAACATTCACACATGATTTTCATAATCGTTTGGATTTATTGGAAACGTTTGACGGCAGTCTAAATGCCATAGCAGAACATTTTCATGTTGATGTATTTGGATTATGTATTATTTGTTAAACTAGTTACGCAAATTAATATGATTTTCAATATTGATTTTCGAAGTTTTATTCATATTCTTATCAGTTTTTTTATCGAATTTTTACAAAAGATTCATTACCAGATATCCATTAGGAAATGATAAAAAGGTTTGCTATAGGATTTTACAACTAAATGGTTATTTCACATTGAAAAAAAATCAATCGCAAAATTTGTGGTAAGAGCGTTTTGATGGTAAGAGCAGAATGATTTGTAAGTGTGTTGTTGTTTTTGTTCATTTGACCGTAAAATGTACTACACAGAAAAAAAAACGATTTTTCATGGAATACAAGTACAATGAAGTTTCTTTCAATAAATATCGAATTCAGGCGCTGTAGCATACGCCACGTCCAGTCTTGGAATTTCCGATGTGTATTGTTGAACGTCTGCCTTTAGTTTGATATAGCATATCACAGATAATGTATAGAAAAACACTCCACCAACTGAAAAGAAAATCATAGCAGAGGTTAAAATGATTTGAAATCATATTTCAGTTAGATATGTTCAACACTATAGTGCTTGACAAGTATACTTGTCATTGATTGTTAACGTACTCACTCGAGCCCAAAAGGTTTGAAACCGAATTCAATTGAGTCACAGACTAGAGTGAATTTTTATGATCATTTGAAATTTTTTTTTCTCCATAATTTACCTGCACTGCCAATTATCAACAAATTGAATAAATTCGTTGAGTGATGACCGATTCCATTCTCTTCGTGTAGCTCTTTGCTATCAAAAATTTCACTTGATCCCCTTATCAAAAGGATGACTGCCAAGAAAATCATGATAGATAAAGGAATGAGCCACCATATAAGGGATAATAATAAATATCCAGGCTTTTTGTTATAAATGCCTACAAGCCAGAAGACACTTGCGATTCCATTTAGAACTGAAATGAAAAACAAATAATTAAATTTTGTTTTTTTTTTAAATCTTGAAGTGTTCTAAAGTGACCAATATCATTTGTAAATGATCTGTTGGCCAAAAATGGATATGAACAGGAGGAAAAACAATTGGTAATGAAGCAATCAGAAGCAAGAGCTAGCTTAGAAATGTTTTATGGTTGATTTGAATAGCATCTTGTGGTTTTAATTTCAGGTTCTTTGGTGTGTGTGAACATTCTTCGACGTCCATGTCTTTATTTTATTCTGCTATAACAGGTAGTTATCGTTATGAGGCTATTCTGTCTTGATGTGCACCTTTTCTCTCTCACAAAACTGACATAAATCACGGTATTGAATGCATCCATTTAACTTAATGAAATAAAAAGTGATTAATCACATTTGAACTACGCACCGTATATGGCCAGAATGGCGATAGCAACCAAGCCCATATACAAGCCAAATATAATTAGGAAAAATAGTCCAAAACCGAGACTCTCTATTATTTTGAGGCATCCTAGTACAATTCCAACGGATCTCCAGCTGACACAACCGTTCGATTGTTGGCCATTTTCCATTTTGACTGATCTCGTTCACCAAAAATTTCTCGAATTTAAACAGCGTTCACTGTTCACTTCAATCGATTTGAAACTGCCGATATTTTTTTGGTAAAATTCTGTCGTTTACTTATTTCTTGTTTCGAATTCAACTATTAACACACAGCTTCTTGATTCTTTTTTTTTATTTCTTTCGTCTTTTCCTTTTAATTTTCTTTCTTCATTAATTTCTATCCACAAATTACAAATTGATCGTTCGTACAACACACATTTATGACACTGAAGTACAATTTTCGAGCGAAAACGTTCAAAATGACTTCTAAATATAGAGCAAAAACAAACAGATACCAGAATATAAACACAAAAAATGTCAGACGATGAAATTCAGAAGCTGCAAATATTTGAAACTGACAGCAGCAGCTTGACAACAACACTTTCACATTGATCTTATTTTTAATTATATTCTTGTTCTGACAGAATGAAGCATTGTTCTTCCGTTCGAAGTCAATTCTCAACTGCGTACACACCGTGTAGATTCCATGCGGAAATCTATGGCAAACCAATGTGACCACAGGTTTGTTTTGCAAACAACTACACAACACACACATCTAAGGAACGAAGATGTCTCTGCGTTTGATGTATCTGTGTTTGTTGCTGTGGGTTTGCGTTTGGAGATGCGATCTCCGCAGATAATGACGTACTTAATGCTGACTAATCATCAGTCAGACAAACACAAATTGGTTTGAATTTTGTTTATACGCCGCAAACTCATTTAATCTTTCTTCGTAAGAATCTATGCAGAAATAATTTATTTAGTCGACACTTATTCAGGCATTTTATAATAGAAATTTTCGTCACAATTTTGGATCCCACGCGATCGGTCCTGCATGACAAAAACTCCAATCGATAATGAGTTGTATTTAAGCGAAGAACTAGTGAACATTTGCCACATTTCTATCGGCCCACAAGTTGTGGACCACAACAATGGAATGGGCAATCAAAGATTAAAACATTCTACACATTTTGACGATGATCATCGTTATAAACACTTACATCGGCAGAACTCAAATAAACTATATGAAAAATAAAACCGATAAAGAAAAAAGACAATGAATTTGATTTCGAATCTTTATTTAAGGAAATACTTTGGAAAATTCTCTTCATATGTGAAAAATGTCATTCAAAAAGATGTTTTTTTCATTCATTTTGTTTTTATTGAAAGAACAAGCCTACTAAATAAATTCACGAACAAAGGAAGAAAAGTCAAGTTCTATTGAAAAATGTCCGTCGAATTGACCATGAAAAATGATTCGAGTGGGATGGAATAGCTCTATTGCCCGTAGCATCATCTTTGCGAGTAGTGAAAGCGTTTCATGTGCTACTTGGCGAAATATTTTTGTGTAAAACGTTTGTCACACCATTTGCAGCTGAATGGCTTTTCACCTGAATGATGGACTTGCATATGATGGCGTAAATTGGGATTTTGCAGCTTGAACACCTTGCACACGTAACACTGATGTTGACGTCGACCGCAGATCTTCTCATGTGCTGTTTTATCGCCTTCTGTTGAAAATCCTCGACCACACTTGATGCATCCAAAGGGAAACTGCTCGCAATGCTGTGCCAAATGTCGATTAAGATTACCTTTTTGGACGAATCGTTTTCCGCAGATTTCACATTGAAATCGACGTTCCCCGGTGTGTTTTGCTTGCATATGATGTTTGAGATTGGATTTTGCGAAATATTTCAATTCGCAGAGATAGCATTCGTATCGACGTTGCTTGCAGCTCTTCTCGTGTAGTTGTTTTGCCTCTTCTCCGGAAAATCTATGACCACATTTCGAAAAGAACGTGGAAGCTCATCGGCGTGAGTACGCATGTGTCGATTCAAAGTAATTTTTTGCAAAAATGTTTTGAAACAAACGGAACATTTAAATGGTTTGCTTCCGCTGTGGATTCGCTTGTGCCGATTTAAATTACGTTTGAGTGTGAAGCTTTCCGAACATTGATCACATTTGTATGGCCTTTCACCTGTGTGAATACGAATATGTGCATTGAGATTACATTTTTTTGTTGTAACATAACCACACACATGACACTTGTGCTCCTTTCGTTTCTTCGCCGCCTTATTCCTCGGAATCTTTCGTCTGTTCTGCTTTCTCGAACCATCGCGCTTCTTTCCTTTGCCATTCGCATTCAGTCTCTTGCAAATGGCCTTTGATCCATCCCTTTGTTCATTGTCTTGACCGTCAAGAGAATTCGGTTCGTCTGCATCTGAGCTCCAGCCCATTGAAGAAGCATTTTCTTTTCCTTTTTCTGGCTTCTCTTCTTCACACTTCACTTCCTCTTTCACATCATTCAAATCAAAGTCGATGATAAAGTCACTCTCTGACTCATCTTCCGATTCGATGTTCGAGTTCGCTGTCGCTGCATCTGCTTCAAATCTTCCATTCGCACGTGTCATCAAATCAAATTTAATGCCATTCGACGGTTCATCTTTAATGTCTGGCTCATCTTACGTTGCACACGGCCATCTGAAGTACCTTCGCCTGGATCCATATCCATAATCAATGCCAATCTGTCAAACAATCGAAAGGAAAGTGTGAAGAAAAAATTAGGTTTGACAGTTCAGAAGTGTTTTTTGTCGGGAGAATTTTTAAAATGTAAGCTTCAATTGAATTTTCGTAAGTTATTGAGAATACCAATGAATGGATTGTTCGTCACCACGCAATTCAAAGCAAAAATGTATGATGGTGAGGATAATGTTAATGGCACAATTGCTTTCCACATAGAAATGGCTTGTAGGAGCGTTTGCTTCTCACAAAAATTCACGCAATTTGTTCGCAATAGAAAACTTTTCTTCGTTATCTCTTCGCTTTTCTATCCATGGCATCGACGTGAAAAATATTTTTATGCTTACAGTTTCGATTATCCGTGCAAAATGCGAGTAACAATTGCTGGTTGCCAATTTCTCCTTGGAATGACCAACAGAATGTGGTTGTTTTCGTATTGCGCAGTGACTAATGCCAAAGCTGAACGTAGAC